GCAACACACGCGGCTGCTCCATGCAGCAACACACAAGGCGGGGATGGCGGAGAGAAGCGCTCCAAGGTGTGGTTAAATGTTACCCGTCTTGAGGTGGACAAAGCTCTTTGCCAATAGTGCAATAAAGGGTTTAGCATGTAAGGGTGGTAACACCAGCAATTTGTCTAAACATTTAGCAAAAGTGCACCACATTCAGACGGAGGAATGCACCGGGTTTGACTGTCTTTCTGGTAGCTCTGTAGCCCCGTCCACGAGTAACGTTTTCACGTCAGCGACACACGGAGTTAACAAAATTATACAAACATGGGTTAATGATTAGAGGTAACTAAGTTATTTATTTTGTTAAAGTTTCAGCTATTCTGTTTACAATTCTGTCATCACATTATTTAATACGATTTGTTAAAACATTGTTGTTTCTTTTGATGTGAAATATTATTTATTTAATTTAAATAAAAAGCAATGTTAATTTTGTTCAAAATGTTTTTAGTGTTTATTCATGTCTTCATTGTTAGTTTCCACATGCCTAAAACAACCTTAAGCTAAATCTAAAAGTTGATGGCTAAATAAGAGCGTTTGAGAAATTGTGCAAGGCATACAGTAATAGTCCGAATAGTTGATTAATCGTTTCATTAATCGATAGATTAATCGATTATCAAATTAGTCGTTTGTTGCAGCCCTATTGGCCATAAACCTGATTCTCGTCAGAACAGAGCGCTGACATCATGTTTGGAAAGGCATGATTTTTAAATCTTTGAATCAGTGTGTCGCTCTTCACTCCTCGGGTCTGTTTGAGTAACTGTGATGCTGTCAAGCGGCATAGGCAAACACAAGGAGAGGAGTGTTTATTTGGCTGAAGTGAATCGTAGCAAATGAGTAATACACAAGATCCACAATTTGTCTCCTCTAATAGTGGCCATTGTGAAATGGCTACACTCTAGAAACACATGGCAACTGTAACAGGAGCAGTATTATATCAGTGGCATGAGTTATGACTCACTGAGTTCATGATGTTCGAGGTTATCAAGTTCAGTAGTAATCATTCAAGCCCCGCCCCCCGGTCCATCGACCATGAGTCTATAACTGCGATGTCATATTTCTCTAGAGAGCATTGAAATAAAACTAAAATGGTACAAACAATCCCTTCCCTTATTATATAAGGGGACTAGTTATATATTATTTTTGATTAAAGATGAACACTGAATCATTAAATTCTGCCTTGAGTCATAAGTTGGGCCCTGACTGAACGGTTGTTTGCACAAGAGTGGACAATCATCATTATCTGCGGTTACACGGAATGTATGCTACAATTTGACAGTTACATTAAATGATAATACTACAACTACAAAGTTCTGCCTTCAAAATGATTTATCTTTGGATCCGACTGCGAGATTCTGAACATTTAACTTGACATGTTACTGGTTCACGAGGGGGAAGTGGAACTAACTGCTGCTTTTCTTTCTCAAAGTATTGGAAAACCCACCACAGACTGAAGCCAAAGCAGTGTCTCCTCGGGGATAATAATAGCAGACTTAGCCTAGACTGTGGTCCAAAACATTTTCATGTGACCTTCTTTTCTGGGTGGCTGAATCTCCGTAGGTAGTCTGATAAATACCCCCCCCCCTCCAACTCCTCTGGGCAGTGAAACATTAACAGATGAAAGAAACAGACAGGAAGCGCTGACAGTGGGTAAACACAGTGGTGGACTTTTTCTCCGCCGTACAACTGGAGGGACGGTGGGCTTCTGTGGTCGGACTCACAGCGGCACCACAGTCATTAACTTTCTGCTCGCTGCGGGGAGAGGTGTGGGGGGGGTTTATGAGAAGATAGGAGTGCTTCATCTGTCTTATAATCTAGTCTCCACACGGCTCTAACAAGAGGCCATTTTGAGTATTTCCCCTACCCACATACCCCACCCCCCAATGCACACAAACACAGCACACACAGACAAACTGCGTAGTAGAGACGCTGGAGCAAATGAATGCATTACCTACTGTGCACGTATTCTAATATTCTACTTGTAACATTTAGTATGTGTTAATAAAAAAAGAATAGCTTGAAGAATTTGTTTTTGGATGGTAGAGTGAGTTATTGTGGGATTTCATGACATGACGCAGACCCTCAGGAGCAGTAACCAGCACAAAGGCAGTCAAGCTTGCTTTTATATCCACTTCCTGTTTTCAGGCTGGGCTAATGGGATGAAATATTTAGTGAATGGACAGAATGGAGTTGAATGAGATTACCTCGAGTCAGTGCCCCAGTGCATGGCATAGATTTTAGCCAGATGCCCCCTCAGTGTCCGTCTAGTGCGCATCTGAATTCGGCCAACAGGGTCGATGTTAGCTGTGATCTAAACGGGGATAAGATGAGAGAAAACGTTGAGACCAAAATGCATTTTTACTGCTCTTTACAGAAAGCAATCTTCACCACTCTCAAATAAACATCAAAGTGAATACCATGTTTAAAACACATTTCTTACCTGAGACAGGGTAGCATCCGCACACGCTTTCCTGGCATCCTGAAACACAACATCAGTCAGTTAACCATCTGTGAATCAGGTTCTGGATTTTGAACCTGTATACTTTTGATCACCAACCAACAAACCAAATTATATTTATAGTATATAGCAAGTATACTGAAAAACTATAGCTATTGTCATGGGGATACAATCATAAGATCATGTTTACCTCTTCTTAGACACAAATAATTAATATCATAATGTTGTTTAAAAGCCAATGGGCTCTTTGTTGATAAAAAATATGAAATAAACTATTACAAAGCAATACAATTGACAACAATTACTGCTTAACTCTGCATTATAACAACTAAGATTTGTATTAGGTTGCATATCAGTACAATGATGTTAATGGGAACACTGTACAGCCTTGAGCAGCGATGTGAAATACAGTACAGTCGCTTCTGGTGGAATATTATTAGGGAGGCGTGTGGTGCAGTGGGTTGTGCGTTGGTGTTCGGATCAGGTTTAAACCCCACTGCAGTCAACATGTCGTTGTGTCCCTGGGCAAGACACTTCACCCCAAATTGCTCCTGTGGGGATTGCCCACAGTATTGAGTATGTAAGTCGCTTTGGATAAAAGCGTCTAACAAGTAACATGTAACGTAATAGTTATCAAACTTTAGTCTTTGGTGGCTGATTTACAGCACTGTCAGCAATGATTTTTAAAGTTGAAATAAAATAGACATTTATTATGAAGGAAACAAAAATAACTCAAATAGGGCTGGGCGATATGGAGAAAATCAAATATCACAAAATGGGCGACCAAACATGTCATTATCCATATTTTGACCATATTGTTGGGTTCACTATTGGTGATTTCAGAATGCTGATAAATAACCACTAGTGGATAAGTGGGTAAAGGTAAATAATGTAACAGCTAGATTACGTTACTGTAATGCCTTTGAAGGAGAAAAAGGCCACACTTGTTTCATATATTGATATTTGTAATCCAACACAACAGGGTTTTGTCTAAACCTGGTAACAGTGGCGCTACTTTTGGCGCATGCCCTCATATCAAAATGCAGATTTTCCCCAGTAAAATGTTTAGGTGATGCCAGAAAACAATATATTATCTGCTTTTGAAAAGCGGTATAATTACTCCAAAAATAAATAAATCATGTCAAATAGACCGTCAGACGGCAGAGACAGCTTTGTTTTTACGGAGCTCTGAATAAAGAGTGCATTGATGTGCGATCGGTCTGCCGGTGGACGAGAGGCAGGCAGCAGGCGTACACTGAAACTGTGATTTCTGAATTAGATCATTTCTGTTACTGCCATTTTTTATGAAGAGGAAGTAAAGAAACTATAACTCTGGATTGACTTATTGTTTGAGGTTCAATATATGACTCGGCAGCTTTAAGACATGAAGATACTATTATTTTCTGCTTTGCTCTAATTCATTATTTTCACCGGAAAGTGGGCGGGGCATTAGCATTAGCACCCTCATACTATATTTTTCTAGAAAAACCCCTGAACATATATTTGTATCCTGAGTGATATAATATCGACATATTGCCCAGCTCTATGCTCTCAATGGCTTAACTGATTTCATTTGTTCTTTATCTTGATGTCAAGCAATTTAGAAGAAGCATTAAAATGGGCATTTTTCAATGAAAAACCTGCTTCACCAACACCAGATGGAATATCAGTCTCTGAGGCAAACATATTGAAAGAGGAATGTAAATCTGGATTTGTATAGTAAGCGAACAAAATGAGGCAGACTTGAGATTGAAGGACTTACTCTGATCTGGTTCTTGAGCTGCTCAGCCTCCTGGCGTAGCTGATCCAGTTCACTCATTTTCCTCTTCTAATGGTGTGCTTCGCTCCGCCGCCTAGTCTCTTTCTGATCTGCAGGAGAAGAAGAAGACACATGAGGGTCAACAAACATAACCAGATACTTCTCATTTCATGTTGGCGGGATCACAAACATTTAAACATTCAAGATTCTGGTTAAAGTGTAAAGGCATTATAGTCGTGTGTGATGAATTTATGGACATGGCTACTTGAGGACCATATAGTGCATCTTAAATCCATCCTGTAAGGCCCAGACAAAGTCTCAGGGAATCACCGCAGCCTAACACTTTCTAGACGGCTCGAGACTCGTCTTTGCCAGCTTGAAACAGTTACCTAGCAACAAGCACTGTGCAGCTACTTTAGGCTTAAGATAACAATGTTGAGGATAATGTTGGAATTGTTTTCTCCCCCTCTCTCTTACAAACAATAGCGAACACCTTGGGCGAAGATCTGACCACACCAAAATTCCTCAACAGATTAGGCAAAAAATTTGATTTAAAAAATCTCTGCGTTTAGAGAGCAATACCTTACTGAGAGTCAAAAGAAGCAAGGATTACGAGTCCAGAAAGCAGTCCAAAAAGTACGCTTGGGTTTGGATGGTCTACTGGGACCCGAGGTGCTACGCTGGTTTGAAGAAGCTATCAATGCTCTGGCCTCTGGGCTCTAAACTCTCCTCCAATGTCATCCCTGTAATCCCGGGACACAGTTGATTCAGCTCCTCCAGGCAAATCCGGTTAAGACAAAACCTGCTGATGATCCTAAAAGCAGTGGCTATCCCGCTGACCCCAATCCTCTGGTCGACGTCCTTAGCGCTGACACTTTCACTCTACATGGAAAGAAGACAGATTCTAATGAAATTATTGGTGTAAATGCGCGTCTACCAGTTAGAGGGTCTTTGACGTGTTGACCACAGGAGCTGAGGATCGAACCAAAGTGTCCTTAACCCCAAATTGTGACAATAAACCCCAAATTGCTCTCAAAGTCAGGTCTATGGTAGTAAATGTATGCAAGTTGCTGTGGACAGGCAAAATACCATGTCATGTTAAATACAATAAAAACAGTATGGTTACAATTAAGACCTCCAGCTCAAAGGTGAGCCTCAAGTTCTTTCTTCCACGACAAACTACCCTTAAACTTTCAGAACAGGAAACACATCAGTGCCAATCTGTCGAATTCAAGCCAACAACGGTTCCATTTGTCCCGCGAACGCACCTTACCTCCCTGTCTCTCTGGGTTTCGATATAGGTCCTTTGTCCTGGAGAGTGTGGCGACCTTCTAAATGAATACCTTATCCTTCAAGCGCCTGACATCTCAATAGCTACCTGATTGGCCAGAGCTGCGAAATGGGTCTGCATGCAAGGCTCCTTAACCCCTAATCTTAGTGATAAACAAATCTCGTGGGGATATCCAAGCTAATTCTTGTCTGGTCTGTGATAGCCCTCTTTGTGAAGGAGGTAATGTAACTTCACCCGGAGACTTTTCAACAAAAGCTATCAGCTGGTCAACAGACTTTGGAAGCTGAAAAATGCAACCCGGTAACACGTGGACATTTGGAAATGGGGTACTGGGGTTAGGACATGTTCCGCTGATTAATGAAGTCCATCCTATAGGCTGCAGTGTGTAAATAACTCAACTACAACACTTCTACTGCTGACAATTCTTCCTTCAAACAAAATGATTATACACACAACCAAAATGACCATAAACTTGTATTAGAAAATAACATACATTTGTCATGATATTTTTTTATGTCTCATTCCATGTGTTTGCCTTTATTTTTCCAATTTAAATGCCACGGGAAGTTACAACAGCATGTTAAAGCCATAGATGTGAGGTTTTTAGTTTTGCAAGATATTGCGTTCTTGACAATGCTGTGGATTTTTTGTGATTTTGAATATTTCGATGTAAACAAGCCTTGTGGCCGCTACAACATGCCAATAGCATCCAGTCTGTGTGCAAGCAAGCAGTGATTGTCCTGACTATGAATGACAATGTGGCAGAGGAGATACAGTGTACTCTTTGCTGGTTAGTTAGTTGCTTAGTCAAGTGTTTGACAATTTGTCTGGAAATCATAAGGTCACATCACATAACTAGTTATTTGGTTATGGTTTTCATTCGTTACTAGTAGATATATAAACTGGTGGTACAGAATGTACCATTAATTTAAAAAAGGCGCATGCAACACAGCGCATGTTTTTGTAGATAAATAAACATAACCCAACATATTAATCAAAGGCTTGTTATATTTCCTTGTAGTGCTTTTTCTGGTCTCAACTGTAGCCATCTTCACTTCTTCCTTCTTTAAAAGGGGGCTTTTTGACTTCACGTTTGGCAAAAAAAAGGGATAAAAACAAAGTTTGAGACGGATGCAGCCTGTCAAGAATATTCAAGAATGTTGGTCATTCTAAAAGACTGCTTAATATTAATAGTTATGCTTTAAAATATTAAAAAAACAGACCAGTTTCATGTCTAATTGAGGAAGAATACTGACAAAAATATATAACAGGGCAGTAGCAGTGGCTATTGGTATTAGAGGTGTTATTCAGAGGACTGTTTCTCCCTGCGCTGGGAGTATAGAAACCGCTGGCAGCCCAGCAGATAGAGCCTCGACTTCGCTGCCTTCTCTTTCTGCCAGCTATTTTTAGAGAGGTGGTGGGGGAGGAGGAGGAGGAGGAGGAGGAGGAGGAGAGAGAGAGGAGGGGGGCAGACTTCACATTTTCCAGCCACTCCTATCAGCTCCGACATCTCGAGCACAACACAAGCAGAGAGGAAGTGTAATTTGACTCCACATACACACTAACACACTTCATTGGTATTTCTCCTTTCGCCAATGATCATGCGTGCAGCATTCGTGTTCACACCATACAGAGATTTTTCGGTGAGCTAGATGTGGTTTTAAATCAGAGGACAGTTCTGCAGATCTTTCTTACACAGGACAGAAGAGAAAGAAAAGTGAGCAGACTAACAAAAGTGCATTCGTACATATATAGGTTTTTTTAACCCTCAAATGGATACTTTTCACCATTCCATTCATTATCTATTTCAAAAGTGGAATTTACAAAAAGATTGCCAGGAATCTACTTTTGAACAACTATTTCCATACTTCGGAAACCATTGACAATATGTCAAACCTCGTCGCCCAATACATCTAATAGTATTAAATAGTTTGCAGATATAAATAGTTGACCTCTGATAACTACAAAAAAAAAAGGCAATTTCTATTCTCACTTACTTGAATTATATTTTTGTAAAGTTTTATATAGCTGAGGACAACTTAATGAAGAACAAAAAAATAAAAGAGGGCTACATGAGAGGTTATAAATCACAGGATGGTCTAGTAGTCAGTAGATTTTTAGGGGGGGTAAGCAGTGAGATGTTCTTGTGCACAAGAGGATAGAGGCGAGAGAGTCAGGCTGGAGGACAGAGCCAGATTAAACTAATGAGAGTGAACAAGCAGAGGACAATTGGGATGGGAGCAGCTAATTAACCCCTCGGTGAAGGGGAGCCGGCACGGTAAGCTTCCAGGAAGAAAGACTGAGCAGAGGAGCCTACACAAACCTCGCCCTTGGTTTCTTCCCAAAATATAACTTTTTTTTTCTGGTTTTCAGCTCAATACATTATATTACATAGCATATACAGTACAAAGTACATATTGTACAGGGATTCAGAACAGAAAAATATATAAGACATTCAAATCCTGTACAAGAATAAATGTTCAGTAAAAAACATTTGGTAATTGTATAATGTGAATTAAAAAATAACAAATGCCGTACTATAGTGGCAATATTTGAATGATCATTTTCTAGAGGACGCACAGCAAAGGCAATAACATGCCAATGGTTACTGATGATTGTTTCATTAGCAGATTTCTCTATGGAATACAATGCTTTTCCTCCTGCCATTATGAGATTTAGGTGTATATTTTGCTCCAAGCTTTAGACAACACAAAAATGATATGGACGAATCAACACAGATAAACCGAGCTGCTTGAATGTACTGTCTATTGCCTTAGCAGTGTGTAAGTGTTGTGGGAAAATGGGGCTGCACAATCTCGAGAAAAAGAACAGATTGCAAATATGTTTGACTGCTATGAAAATTGCAATAATAACCATTTTTGAAATATATATTTACACAATCATTTAAAAATATATCAAAATGTTGATCTGTACCAAACAAGGACATTATTATTATATTTTCACATACTTTGCCTTTAGCAAATATTGCGCTTGCTTTGATTTGGATATGACGCAAGTCCTAATTTATCGTTTGATAAAATTCCGATAAAAAACAAGTGATTGAAAGATCCTTACTGATAAAAAGGGAAACAACATGGACAGAGGATATCGTGAACATTATAAGTCTGAGGGAGGGGAAATGTCTTTGCAATCGAGAAACAAAAGCATGCATTAAGCCCATGATAGCGTTCGAAAAGGTAGGGTTGAGGGGTTTAATAATTTACGCCCTCCTGCTTGGATACAGCTGCCCCTCCCCTCGTCTTTATGAAGGCTGAATCTTGTCTCCCAGGTCTGATTGTTCCGGCTACCTCGCCTCTCTGTCAGATCTTCTACATTCGAAAGCTTTAAGGTGCCATTACGGTTGTGGTTTATTAGCTACTCCTAGAAACATAAATCACAAGCAGGATGTAGTTTTTTGTTAACAGTCCAGGACAGTACTTTGCTTCGGATCCTCTGTGTCAGGGTGCAGCCTCCAACCTTATACGAGTGCATAGCCTCTCTGAGTAGGCGTTTCCTTTTTCAGGGTGTTTCCTTAGCTGAGCTCGTCTCTCTTCCCTTTGTCATAACATTCAGCGGATGTGGCGACAGCACACACACACACTTTACAAATACACTTGCTCTGTGGTTTCTGTTACTACCATTGCACTTGCCAGTGTCCATTGGGGCTTTCAACCAGGCTGTGCAATCAGCTGCGTTACACTAAGACGTTACACAGGACATCCTGGCAGGCAAGCTCATGCTAACAGACAAATGTAGGGATGAAATCAGTGAGGAGGGTGAAGCATCAGCAGGAGGCGCTGTGTGTGGGGCTGCAACACG